CTTGTAACGGTGTATTTCTAAACCGTGGTATTACGTCATTTACTTAAGAAAAGGATCTGTGCCTTTGTTCTACCTCTGCAACTAGAATTGTTTTTACCACAGATAACTGATTGTTTCTTTAACTAAAGGCAAGGCACACGTTTACCCCCTGGTGCGTGAGTAACAAAGAGGTAGCAGTTTCCATCACCTCTCTGGAAAACTCACACAGAGACATTTACAATACTGGGCTGCTCCTCTGGTGGGTTGGTAGTAAGTGGTTAGGATTTTCTCTCAGAGCATCAGCTCCGTGTTAATGACATGCAGTCTCCGGAAAGGTTTATTCATTCAATTTGACTCAAGAGAGAAGATGTCTTCAGCCTGCTCATTAAATTAAGATTCTTTAATAACCATATCTAGGTGTGCTGACACGAGAGAGATTCTGACCCTTGTCGACCAATGAAGATAACCAAAATGGTGTGTTTTAAAAGCATGTGACAGCAGTGCAGTGCATTACTCTGTTATGTCACAGTTTGGTGGTCATGATTCACCTCTGATCTGCTCTTAATTTCCTGTGCCACACAAATCCAAAGCTGTACTTTTGTAGTCATTTTCTAAAATGAGGGGACCTATTTTCTGCCTTTCACATAGTCCAATTCTAATTTCTTCAATTTGATTCAGTACATGTGGCTGCTTTGAAAGGAATGCCATTGAGGAAAAAATGGCAGAGTTCATTATGATGTGCATGGTGCTTGTCGAAATAGGTTCGACAAAGATGACAGATGGTGGAAAATAATAAGTGGTCTTCAACCAGTTCAGCATCAAAGAACACGTCATTTAATAGTACACGCTGTTGCTATTAATATGGAAATTAGCATTTTTTTGTTAATGCTAATTTCCATCTACGTCAGTCAATTTATTATTATTTATGATTGCCAATATCATCAGCACTTAACTAAAGTACATTTTGAAATGAAAGGCACATTTAAATACATTATTGGTCTATTTGTCTGATATAAAACCATTTTCCACACTTGGAAATGATGAATCTTAGGACTAGAATGCTAAGAATATCCATCAATTTTCATCTTCATGCACATTCACAGAAATGGCTAGGAAATGCGTCATCTCCTCAAAAAATGTTTTCAAATGCCATATATATTCATTTGTCGCTTTTCAGCTCTTGTCGACAAAGGCATCTGAGTTTTTTCAAAAGGATCTTTGTGAAATAAGGCACTCCACATTATATGGTTATGACTGCCACCAGTGCCTGTCATACCAAATTATGTTCTAATTGTAATCTACTTTCTGCCTGTGGCATTACCCACACTCATTTGGTCACAGTCATCCAACCCTGTGTGCCTAATACTGCATGTCGTCAGTGAGAAAAATATATTTGTTGAATTATACTTGAGAGAAAACTTTTGGTGAAGTAACACACTCAGCATTTGAGCTGAATAGGCACTTTGGGTGTCAGTGCTTAAGATTTAGGACATTTCACTGAGGTTTATATATGTGTACAGCAGTGGCGAGCCGTGACTTTTATACCTAGGCCCTCTGACCCCCACCCCTTTCCTCGAAAAAAAAAAAAGAGTTATTACGTCACAGCGTATACTTCGGCCGAAGGCGAGTTTACGCTGTTGACAGGAAGTTGTTGTTGCTATGGAAACAAGAAAAGCTTCACAGCGGGCGGAACTTGTCATAAAGTCCGCGATAATAAAACCCACCCATTTAGAGGGAAAATATTATTGGTCAATTTGACATCACTCTCTCCTTCAGTTACTATAGCAGGCCCTCTGTGAATTCATAGCAGGACCACCAATCAGCTCCTGTCTTCACAGTAACGGCCCATCCACACGGCGGCGTGCGTTGAAGCTTCAACGCAGCTTCCCATTCACTTTGAATGGGGTGACGTCACGCTTTGCCGAACTGCATTGTGGTTCCGTCGCTTTGCCTCCGTTGCTCGCTTCAAAAGTTGAGAAATGTTCAACTTTTCAAGCTTCGACGGAAGCGTCAGCCAATCAAATCATATGCCAGTACAAGCTCTAGCCAATCAAACCGCGTGCTTGTGTGTCCGGGGCGGGAGATTCATGTGATTGGTTGTTGATCGAGCTTCAGACATGCCCGCCGGCAAGCTTCAACGCTCGCTGCCGTGTGGACACTGCGTAACTCGCAGAGACGAGCTTCTTTCATTTAACCCTTCACATTCAAACAGAAACTGAATAGGCAGATTCGAAGCATTTATTTCTTTGGAAATGTTATTTTAAATGCAACTAAATCAAGTTATTTTGGTAAAACAAATGAAAAATATATCAAAAATATATTTAAAAAAAATATATTAAATATATATTTTACATTTTTTTAAACATTATTTTGTAGAATATCTTAGGCCCTCAGAGAAGGCCTAGAGGGCCCTGACGGCTCGCCACTGGTGTACAGTGATATCCATCTGTTCTACAAGATCCGATCCCCTCATTCAATCCTGAATGTTTTAAAACAGCTATTATGTTGGGCAGAGGTTTGCCATTTTTGGCCACTACATTTAGCTTCCCCACATTTAAGGTAAGGTTCACTTTAATGTATCCAGCATACAGTTTCAATTGAACTGCCCCCTTCCAGTTCATTTTTTCTCCCAGGCCTTCTCCATATCTCAAAGGGGGAGGGGGGTTACATTTGTACTCACCCATTGTTTTGGGGAATCTCGTTCCTACTGTATGCTGATATGCTGTGCTATGATCACATGTGTGTGTGTGTGTGATAGTAGAACTGTACCCAGTGGTGGAATAAGTATTCAGATATTTATTTAAGTAAAATGTGCAATACCACATAGCAAACATGCTCTGTGAAAAGAAGAAGGAGTAGAAGATAGTGGAGTAGAAGTATAGTTGGAGCTGAAAATGGATATACTCAAGTGAAGTACCTGATATTGTAACCCTAACCCTAACCTTACCTGAATTTGTGGAGGACATCTTATGCACATTTTTTGTCTCATATTTGTAATTTGTTCCTCCATTGTGACATGTTTACATGATTTAAAGTTCTAACAATTCTTTATTTTTCTCTTACTGCCTGTGCTGCAGCACTTCTTTTCACCCTCTGTCTGAAACCAGAGCCCAGTCTGCTCTGATTGGTTAACTTACTCTGTACTGATTGGTCATCCGCTTAGAGATGTATTGGAAATGTCCCGCCCCTTAGCTCATGACGTAAAAAGTGTTGAGGTGAGTGTTACATAGTGATGTCTATATATTGGAGTCCAATCAAGGCATTTCAGGCAGGGGGAGTGTGTGGGAGAGAAATTCCCTCTAGAGCGTACTTTGGGATTTTAGCCTTTACAGACCATTTACATGCACCAAAACCTATAAAACACACTACAGGAAAGGGAAAACCCAGAAAAGCATTAAAGGGTTAGGGTTAGGCCTCATTAGGCGCTTTCACACCGCAGTACTTTTCCCACTAAGGTTCATCAGAACTTAGTTTATGAGAACTCTTTAGTTCTTCAGTAGAAGCTGCTGGGACTCCCAGCAGCTTCCGAAGCCTTCCGAGTAAATCGCCAGAACGCCGACACCTCTTCATCTCCACCGCTCCCATGTTTTCTTTTGTGTTGCCAAAGTTAGTCTCTCTGCGTTTGTGCGCTGTTCTAATGCTACTGCTAATAATGCTAATGCGAGGATAATAAAATGGCGGCTTCACAAAACCTTTTGTGAGTTTTACGGGGCGTGGTTTTGCAATCCGTCCAGCCAATTAGAAATAGGAACCTTTTTCTCACACGAAAGTCCCTGCTCTCTAGACGGAAAAGGGGGTAAAAAGGTTCTCATGAACTAATTTTTGTTCCGGAGACACTGCGGTGTGAAAGCGCCTTTTAATTATAGTGCTCAAGTACTTTCCACCACTACTTATACCTGCAGGTCTTTATGGAGTGCTGTGTAGAAAACAATATGTAGAGCCAAGACTTAACAATCTTAAGCACTACTGAGTACTTTTTATTATTACTTTAATTTATTTTTGTTCTGTTTACAGCAGAGTGTGTGCGTATGATTTGCCAGTCTGTGTAAAACTATTATCACAAAAGCCTAAGTTATTTTCTTTTTAATGAAAACTGAAATTCATTTCAAAAGCTCAAGGCAGTGTACTGCACGGCACTTATAATACCGTTTATTTGTCCGTATGAGAAAAATATGTTGATTTATACCCGCATCAAAATATATGGTAGCATTACCCTTTTAAATACATTTTCATAATAAGACCAAGATGTTTAGCTTTTTCTGACATTTAAAAAAAAAAAAATTTTTTATATTGAATGGCAATGAATGACATCTTCAACCACTCTTTCAAATGCCTATGCTTCTCTAAGGAATGTATTGCATGTTTTTTCAAGGCCAAACAGCACCAGGTAAATAACTGGTGAAAAGCTTCAATTTCATTTCATTTCAAACCTTTATTTATCCAGGTTGTATCCCATTGAGATCATTGATCTCTTTTCCAAGGGAGACCTGCTCAAGTAGGTTCCACATGAAACATAAAAACATAAACAGAACAACAAAAAGGACATCATACAGCATCAATGGGCTTTGTAAAGCAAAACATGCAGGACCAATCACATTGAAATGATTAAATTGGTTTTACCACACTAACTTGGTTTTACATACAGAGATAATCAAAACATATTTGGTTTGAAGGAAGATGGAATTTGAATTCGACAAAACAAAAGAGATGTTAATTATAAAGAAATTCATTGAAAAGTGAACACGCTTATCCCCTTAAGTAACTACAAATGAAGTGCTATTTACCAAAATACTTACCTCCCATGTGGAAAAGTGCTTGTTGTGTAAAAATGATTCATGGACATTTTCCAAAAGAGAGTGCATAGTCAATATTATATATATAAATAATTAACATTCTGCAAATTCATGACCGCTTTAATGCTGTTGCTCAACATTTACCTCGGCAAGAAAAAAAGTAACTTCTTCATGTTGTTTTTATGATTTATGACTGTAATAAAACTTTTCTCCTTTCTTTTTCTCCAGGATATTTGACAGTTACCATAGAGCCCCTGCCTCCTGTTGTTGTGGGAGAGACTGTTACCCTCAAGTGTAACTTCAAAACTGACGGAAGGCTACGAGAGATTGTTTGGTATAGGGTGAGTAAACATGTCTCCTCTTTCAATGCCATTTAAACACTAGAATATCAAGAGCATCATTCCTTTCATTTTAGCCTCTAGGTATTCAATAACACAGGTTCATGGCGGCCTTAAAGAAGATACCATGCACTGTCAAACTGCCATTGTTAGGAAACAGGCTAATATTTGGAGCAGCTGTATGGGAGGCATCACTGGCTGTTGCTTGGGAATTTGATTTCTCAATCTGCTGGTCATCACCATCATGTCTTAATAGTTCACAGCTGGCGACTTAACAGTTATTAAAATCCCAGTTGGTGTACTACACTGCCTAAGTGCTGCCAATAATTAGATCTCTGTTGGAGGAAAAAGATACAACACACATTTTTTTTTTTCAAGATTAAGTTAATTTTGTCAACGCGACTATTTGATTAAAGTTCAGTTGGTAAAGAAAATGTGCAGATATCACAGTTCAAAGACCTTATATTTATTTCACATCATGAGAGTCCCTGATAAGCAATTGAATTGGTAAGCAGGAGCAGCTGTCACACCCTTGTCTAAACATTTGTTTTTGCCAAAAATCTCCAATCATTCTTGAGTGCTTTACAGGATTGCGTTGTCAAAGTGGCTGACTCTACTTTTTGAATGTGCTCATTGATAATTGGATTTGTGTAATCTACTGACAAACTGTAGAGCCTGAAATGTTATCAACCAAGCATAGGTGTTCCATCAAATACATTGCACTGCTCTATTCATCAACAAGTCACTTGGACTTCTTCTTGTGTCATCAATGGTGCTTGTGATATAATCAAAATACTGATGGGTTTGCAAGACAAACAAGTGAACAGCATACAGACGGCTGCATGCAGAGGTGGCTCTGCTCAGTAGAATATATATGCACTAGTAAGACATGCAGTTCTGACTTACTGAACAATAGATGTGTCTTAGGAGCTCTACACTAACTTTACACAAGGAGAATGACAGTTTGCTTCTCCTGAGGAATATATCCATCTTGTGAAAACAGTTGTCTGTGTATGTATTGTGGGTCTGGAGGAAGCTTTCTAAAATCTGAACAAATAATTAGAAGGAGCTGTTGCATTATGGTTAATGTAGGATCCAGGATTGCTAATGCTTGACCCATACAGGAAGATAGCAAATATTTAGTTGGATCAATGTTAACCATTCTGTAAAAATGAAAAAATAAATAATAATAATAACAACAATAAAATAATAATAATGATAATAACAATACAAATAATATTAATAATTTAAATGATAATAACAATAATACAATAATAATAAGTATTAATAACAACAGTAGTAATAATAATAATAATAATAATAATAATAATAATAATAATAATAATAATAATAATAATAATAACAGTAACAGTATCAATAACAATACAATAATAATTATTATTAATACTATCAACACTAGTAATAATAGTTTTAATAATAATAATAATAACAATAATAATTTATAATAATAAATAAATACATTTTAAAAGGTCTGATCTACGTCTTGTCATCAGAATACGGATGAAGGGCAGTGAAACATCACCTTGGTCCAATAATAAAGTGAGCGTTTGAGCCCTGCAGTGGGCAAGCTATTTGTTTTTATTTCATCATCTGCTTCACCTCGGCACGTGCCCTAGTTTGTTTTGTATGAACAGTTTCTCATTTTTTTGTATCTTCTGTGCGCTTGGCATGCTGAAGGGCATTACAAAATCATTAAATACAAAATGACTACTGTGGTGATGGAGGGAATTTCTAAATGTCCTGCCAAAACACACAATCAGTAATACAAATCTCAATTATGTATCACCTGAGTCAAGCTAATAATCCAGGAAATGATTGAGTACTACAATTCACCCAAAAATGACATGCCGTTCTGAAAAACGCTCCCATGTAAACTTTCCAATGTGTTTTTGACCAATATGCAATCCTTATTGGAACACTACTTAATAAAGTACACCTTTCATACATGAGAAAGCAACCATGTACTGCTTATAAAAGCACTGTCTTTATAGTGTCTTCTGCCTTTTCACTCTTTTATTGGGGAACAAAACGGTGTCTCTGGACTCATCTTAGCAAACGCTGACCTTTCAATGTAGCACAAAAATAGATTTATGGCTCTTTACACATTCACCCCCGTATCATAGATCACTTTCATGACGGTGACAATTCATTTAATCAGGCGGGGATATGAAAGCGTTGTTTTGCTTATATTCTGTCAGAATTCTGTGGTCCCTGTTGAGGGCTTAACTTTAAATAACCGCTGCGAGAATAAAGCTGTCTATATTAAGTGTCCTCACGAGGAAAGCTTAGAGGTTGTAACAGAAACTGACCCCATCTCTCCGGTGGACGCCGCTGATAATGTATTAATCAATTACCTACACCTTGCTGCCAAATGTTCTTTAATCTCTGCCTTTTCATTTGACTAAATAATGTTGACTCCTCATTTTACCTCCTGTTCAAATGGATGGGGTTGATACTCCCCTGGGGAATTGGCATATCTAATCGAAACTTGGCCAATCATAAAAAGGGGAAGCATGAAGTGAATATTTCAACAAGTGCTGATTTGTGCTGCTAGATCCTGACATATTCTGTTTGAGGATTTTTTAATGCATAACACATCCAGACTGCAGTCAGAATTAACACGTCTAAGGATGTACTTAAGATAAAACCTGATCATTGTAGAGGACCTTTCAAGCCACGCTCACTCAAAATGTCCACAAAATGATATTCAAAGCCAAACAGATAAAAGTAATGGATTTGATTTCAGTTACATTATGGGTTCTCTTAAAGCCTTTAGTGTTTTCTTTATGAATAAGATAATTTTTTTAGCGACTGTACAAATGTTATCTTTACCGAGAGAAATTGTAAGCGTGTGTGAAAGGGGGGAATTTTTCTATTCAAAAGCCACACCTTTCCTTTTCATTAAGTAACTTGACCTTCCTATGTAATACAAAATAAAAAGATTTCTTTCAAGAAGGTAGTATTAATCTTTTGGTTAACACAAGAAGAGACTGCACAATAATGAAGGAGACCAAAAGCAGAAATAACAAGCATATATAATGCAAAAACATAAGAATACTGCAATATTTCATGTTTGTTGCATGGACTAAATATTACCTTACAATTGTTTAGCAAAGTGACTTATTGTATAAAGTGCATTTCAATCACAACGTATAACGCAAACAATTCAATAATTGTGCAACTTAAAAAAAGAATAAAATCAAATGAAATAAGGAAACTGCTTTAAGACTTCAACATTATAGAAACACAGATTTCTGTAGCTGTTAAACAGTGATGTCAACACTGATCATAGATATAGACAGAGCGAATGAAAATCCACTGTATTTAACCATGTTTTGATGCGAGGCATAATTAAACCCATGCAGTGGAGTATAAGAGAACAAAATAATTGTTTTAAAAATAAATGAATGTTTACATAATGGTAGCTCCAACCACCAATCAAAACAAGCTAAATGAAACATTGTCTCCCTTAATTACATCTTTCATTTAAGTTTACACAAGATGACACAACATTAACAGACAGGAAGTGAATGGAGTGAGAACGCCCTCTGTAATGGAGGCTGTATAGCTAATGCTTCAAGAGCAAAAAAATGAAAGCCTCTGGAGTGTGTATGGTTTTACACTAATGTTTTAAGTGTGTCGTGAATACTGACGGGCCATGGATTCATCGTTATGGATATGTAATGCCATCAAGCCGTCTATTATGCTGTAATAGCGAACCAAATAGTAATGATAGATCATTTGATAAGATGGCGCTGCCTGTTTGGGAGAGGAACGTCGGCGTGGTGGTGCGTGGGGACTCCTCTTCAAAGACCTGCACACAAGCTCATCTCATGCCGTGCCTGTTTTAATTCATGTCATCCTAATGGATATGTACATATGGGACATCTCCCAGTGGGCGCCCAGGTATACGCTGACGGTGGTAAAAAGCAAGAGGTGTCTGTTAGCTTGCCTGTTGAGTGCAGCTCTGCGGTGTGGTTCATTTTAATCACTGGATCAGCTGTCTCTGCTCTCCTGTTCTGCCTCTTCCCTCGCTCTGCCTATTACAACTCCTCCATTCTCCCCCCGACATAACTCTTCTGGGATCCTCTCTCACCGATGTGAGTGTCTTCCCTAAGACACTTTCCTAATTTACCACTGGACTGTCTGCTGGCTGAGCTGGTTTTTCTGGAACTCATCTCATCATTCAGCTGTGTCCACCTCTGTCCATTTCATTATTAGGATTCAGACTCACCTGTATTTATAATCCTGCTCTCTGCTGAATTAAACACCATTCTCCAAAACCCAATGCGTACATGCTGTAGCTTTACAAGATGACGTGCGATAGTAACGGTATCAAAGGGAAACATTTTAATCATGTTCCAGAGACATGTTGTCTTCCTCGTGATGATAAAGTGCAAAATAATCTGTGTGGGTTATTTTCAGCAGGAACTAGCCGAGAAAATACAATAATTGGTCTCCACATTATTTTTTACATTTTATTTTGTTGTAGGTAGTCTTGTCTTGTTGTTTTCTCTTGAAATACATGTTATGACTGAGGGATACAAAAAAATGATTTTCATTGTTATATTTCTCATTTAAATTCCCAGACATGCCTACAAAAAGAAAATATATCTATAATTCTTACATTTAGAACTGAGTTGCTGTTGTTGGATGGCAGCCATATTAATGTTCCAGCTATGTCAGTGCTGTGAGCTCTTTTCTAAATTAAACACACTGTGTACTCTCTTATTATCTTCTTGTATACTTAAAATACAGTGGAGGAAGAAGTACTTGGGTGAAAGTAGAAATACTATGGTCTTAAAATACTAAATTACAAGTAAAAGTCTGGAATGCAAAATGTTAATAAGTAGAAGTACAGATGTACTATCAGCTTTATATTAAGTACTTAATATTTACAGTGGCTCCTATTATTTTTTTTATATAATCTTATATTATTCTGTAACTCATGTTGAGCCTGTTGTGGTTTGTGTGTATGTGCA